GTACTTTTATACTTCACGTCCTTCTAAAGAGTCGGCCCCTAAAGGACAGCGGGAAAACTGCAGCTATTGGCTCATTTACCGGTTGTAGGATTCACTTTTTAGGTGGTGTGGGGGCTGGGGTCTCTCTGCTGGTGGTTGGGATCCTGGGGTCCGGTGGTTGGGATCCTGGGGTCCGGTGGTTGGGATCCTGGGGTCCGGTGGTGTGGATGCACAGAAACTGTCCCGAGCTCTCTTTGTATCCAGTGATTCAGTCAGAACAAATGCATTTTGAAACCATGTAACCCTGTAGAACTGCTTCTACATCGCACAAGCTGAACAAAACGTAGTGGAAGCTGCGACCAGAAGCAGCTGCTCGCGCCGCAGTAGTACGTGGGTGATGTACAAACGTGTATTGATAACTTTGTGCTTTGATAATCTGTTGTTGCGTTTGAACAGATGATAGATTGTGTTGTCTCCGTTTCTCTGTGGGTGTTTATGAAGGAGGTCCTGCGCCGCCTCGACGCTTCGGCCCTGCAGACAGGAAGCCCGTCTGCGAAGCTAAAAAGATGTAATGTTATATTTGCTGAATGTTCTTTTGCCATCTCGCTGTGACTGTGCTGCTGCCATATCTGTGAAACCGCTGAATGTGGGAGAGTTTCCTTCAATGTCCGTTGACTTCAAACTGATCAGCTGATGTGACGTGAGACACCCTGCTGGTCCTTAAACGCCTCTCTGAATCTCAACAAATGAAACCAGAACCACGACAAAGCCCTGCTCCTGGGTCCTCCTGCTCCTGGGTCCTTCAGCCGGAGACTCAAAAACAGCTTTGTGTTTATTTTCAGAAGCTTCGGAGGCAGAAAGCTCGTTGAGTCGATGATCTATTGCATTCGCTAAAGGAAAGGAGACTTTAGGCCTTCTGTTGTAAGGATGATTGAGCCTCTGATATTTACCAGACGAAGACTCGTGGTTCTGAAAGGAGGATCCTGTGACTCTGAAGGCTGGTTCATACCTCTGCGTCGAGTCTAGGCCGTAGCTAACGGCGAAAGCTACGCACGTGACCAAAACGCTGTGTGACGGTGAGGTTTCCTCTGTGGTGACTTCTGCCAGCTAACTTCCTGTAGCTCTCCACTAACTTGGCTCTTCTTGACTTTCCAAATAGATCAAACTCTGATAGTGAAACATGTCGCGGGGGCTGTGGCGCTAAAGGATAAAGGATCCACCATGTTACAGCTACGTGTTTGGCCTCTAGTAAGGACAGAGCACTTCCTGTGGACTTGATGATGCTACCAAGCCGACCAATCTCCGCGACATGGCGCTACATTTTTGGAGGGATGCGCGTCAGGCTGCAGCGTAGACTCGACACAGATTATAAATCAGCCTTAAGAGTCATGAATATCAGGAGAAGAGGCGTGAAGCTGCCGTTCAACGGACGGAGACACAGCGAGGAACTGCAGCTTCTGCTCACGTTGTTCGGTGTGAAGTTGAACACTGGGTCGTCTGCACTTACGATTGGTCCAAAGGCAGCGGCCTCTCTGAACTTCGGCCGTCTGTTCAGTATTTGTGTCAGAGCCGCTGTAAATAAAGTTCCCCTCCTCCAGAGCTTTCAGCCGCGTCTCACCGTCTTCACAGGCCATCTTCCCCCCCGATAGACCACCACCTGTTACCACCTGAGGTCCAGACTCACTGTCGGCCGCGATGTGACACCTGAACCCATCTCCATGACAACGAAGCACACTCCCCGAGGATGACAGCGAGATGATGTAGAAAGCTCGGAAATGGCCCTTCAGTAAAGATGATTTAGTTCCAGCTCATCGGCCTCCGTTCTGTATTTCCAACACCTGCTCAGCAAAGGCTGGACCAGCACGGTGTGCGTGTGCGTGTGCGTGTGCGTGTGCGTGTGCGTGTGCGTTACAGCAGCTCGGCGTGCAGAGAGCTGAACACGTCTACGTCTGTTTCAGATGGATGTCCAGGATGTTGTTAGCCTAGCTTAGCACAAAGACTGGTAGCGGAGGGAAACTGTTAGCCTAGCTCCGTCCCGTCTGTCTGACGTCCATCTGGAACGCGACCGAGGAGACTTTTATTTTGGAAAGTGCATGCTTCCTGTAGCTTGAGGCGGCTGAGAGTTTGAGGCTAGTTCACCAAATGTGCACTTTTTCATTTGACACCGTGTGAAAACAGCTGAGATTCTTGGGGGTGCGTGCTGTTTTCGTGCTCTGCAGCCATCCAGAATGTATCCGCTCATCACACAAACCTGATTGGCCGCTGCTGTGATGATGTAACTGCTGCTGCTACTGGTGATTGGTGTTTTTCCTGAGTTACAGTGCATGGCGGTGCTGCAGACTCGCTGTAGAGACGTTCCTGTATTTACTCTGTTTTTTATGCATCAGCCGGGCGGCGTCCTGCAGCCGTGTTCCTGTCCTCTGGTATTTATTAAGTCCTGGACTCTCATGTGTTCATCACCAACAGGGTTTCTGTGAATCACCATGTCATTTGTAATAAACTGATTTCATGCACTCTGATGTTTCCTGAGTTTTAGACCTGCAGCTTTTCACAATAAAATCAGTCTGACTGAGACAAACCTCCTGCTTCAGAACAGACAGGACAGGCGGACTGGTGGATCCACATGCTGTGGTGGTGGTGTCCCCCTTTGATCCGTCACTGAATACTGGATACTGGTTTAACTGACGATAGTTTCTAACCAACAAAAACCAAGTGACTGAAACTAGGAAACATTTTAGTTTAAAGACTCAAAATAAATTTATATCAACAGGAAGAGTCATTTCAAAATAAAAGCTCGCAGGAGAACGTGAACGTTCACACAGCCAAACGACCTGAGGCAGAACGTAGAAACGTTTCTCTTCTTTTCAGTGAAACTAAAAATGAACAAACAGAAAATCTCTTAAGTTCTTAATCTCACACCTCCACAAACAAGTGTTCAGATACTTTACTAATACCTCACTGGACAAGTACTCTGTTACAAGTGAAAGTTTGTACCAGAAGATGTAAAAGTACTTGATGTCCTGTGACTGTCATGTATTATTATTCACTGAGGATGTTCACTTTCAGACAGCAGCTGATGATTATTTACATTCTGGATCAGTCTTGTAGACTAACTGAGGCTGTCGGTTTGTTTCGTCTTGATTATTATTTCTGGACGAATGAGTCGACAGAACTGATCCTGTAAAGCAGGAGAAGTCGTTTGAGAAAACAGCTGCAGGATCCAGCAGGGGGCCCCCTTACCTCCCCAACAATGAGCCAGGTTCTGGGTGTCATTTCAGGAGACCAGAGGACAAACTGGATCCACTGACTGCAGTGGGACAGCAGGGGGCGCTGCTGCACCGCTCGGTCTCTGTAGGAACTTGATGTATTTATAATGGAACATAAACAGGAAGCTTTCACGTGGTTCCTTCTAAAACACAGTTTACAGGCTGAAGGATCTGTACTAGTGATGTGGATCAGTTTTACACCAAGACTTCATGTTGTTTAACTGATCAGGGTCACTGAAGCTGCTGTGGTCAGTCGGTCGGTGCTGCTGGAATACGTTTAATATTAACAGGAAGAAAACGTCTCACACAGCCCGGAAGAAGAAGGTGGTTAAGGTGACCCTGATCTGAAGTGCAGCAGCTCCATCTGATCGTCTCCGTAGAAACGGGTTAAACTGGGGGGCAGTTTTCCAGGAGGTCAAAGGTCAACAGTGACATCAGTGAGGCAGCAGGTAAACAAACACCTGGAGAGAGACAGGAAGTGAAACTGAAGCTACGACCAACACGCCTGTTACAGCGTTACAGGTGCATGATGGTTCAGCGGGGCCCCTGCGGGACCCTCAGCGGGGCCCTCAGCGGGGCCCCTGGTGTTAAGACTTCCTGTTTTCGTTTTTAACATTTTACTTTAACTTATAGTTCAAAACTACTTCATGTATGTACTCCAGTGGTGGTATGTGACTAAGTACTTTTACTTATTTCCTTTTTCTGTGACCTTGTACTTTTACTTCACTCCATGATGACGATATGCAGGATACAAAGTAATATATCAAATATCTAAATTAGCTTCACCTTTACCAGCTGCAACAGCAAACTGATGAACAATATTTGAGTACTTTTACTTTTGGTACTTTAAGTATATATTGATGCAAATGCTTTTGTACTATTGCTTCTTGCAGAATATTTATATTATGTAGTATTAGTACTTTTGTATACTGAGTACTTTTTCAAACAAAGTAAAAGTACTCGTGACCAGTTTGAATACTTTTTATTGACAGCAGGTGTGTTCAGGTGTTTCCCGACAACATTCACATTTATGGTCGCATTCTATCCTGCTGGTCGTTACCCAGAATCCTCTGGGGCCTGTCGACTGTCCAGACTCTTCATATTTTATTTTCTTGTCTTCCTCTTTTATTCGCTCTGTCCGTCCTGATCTGACTCTGCCCTCTGACATGGGGGTGTGGCTACTGGTGAGTTGGCCCCGCCCCTCTCCTCACAGAGCCTCTCACACTGATTGGCTGAGAATAAAGAAGCCACGTCAGAGGTTTTAAACCCCGCCCATCACTTTCTCCTGTGGCTCCGCCCCCTCCGCAGGTACACCTGCAAAAACAGAAAACACCTGATGATGTCACTCACTGCTCAGGTACACTCTGATGCCTGCTCCTGTGATGACCTCACCTGTCACCTCTCTGACATCACTGCTGACATCATCAGGAGGCCAGCGGAGCTCGCCGCTCTCGACCTCTTCTCCATCTGTCGGGTCAACCACGATGGACGGGAGCGGCAGAAAGACCTGGGAAGGAGAACCGGACCAATCAGAGAGCCTGCTGCTGACTTCAGGTAGACCCGCCTGCACCTGAGCTCACTTCGATGGACAGGTGGGTTAAAGGGACGGTGTAACAGTCACTGTCTCACCTGGAAAGCCAACGTCTCCTTTTTGTCCTCGCCAGAAGCTCCGCCCACTGTTGTGTCACAGGAGTTCGCTGTCATCTCAGCCAATCAGAACGAAGAGCCAGCAGGAGACAGGAAGCTGAGAGAAGACAAAATAAAACCACAAAAATAAAAATATGGAGATAAAGGAGACCAGAGTCCAGGGACCAGAGTCCAGGGACCAGAGTCCTGGGACCAGAGTCCAGGGACCAGAGTCCTGGGACCAGAGTCCAGGGACCAGAGTCCAGGGACCAGAGTCCAGGGACCAGGGACCAGAGTCCTGGGACCAGAGTCCAGGGACCAGGGACCAGAGTCCTGGGACCAGAGTCCAGAGTCCTGGGACCAGAGTCCAGAGTCCAGAGTCCTGGGACCAGAGTCCAGGGACCAGAGTCCAGAGTCCAGGGACCAGAGTCCAGGGACCAGAGTCCAGGGACCAGAGTCCAGAGTCCAGGGACCAGAGTCCAGAGTCCAGGGACCAGAGTCCTGGGACCAGAGTCCAGAGTCCAGAGTCCAGGGACCAGAGTCCAGAGTCCTGGGACCAGAGTCCAGGGACCAGAGTCCAGAGTCCAGAGTCCTGGGACCAGAGTCCTGGGACCAGAGTCCAGGGACCAGAGTCCAGAGTCCAGGGACCAGAGTCCTGGACTATGAAGGGAGTTTCACCTGCTCAGGTTTGATCAAACTCTGCTGTTAAACTGTGACGGTGAACCAAACATTGGCTCGGTGAGTCGCCGTTAACTCAGCTGGAGGTTTTTCACTACAGCGTCTGTATTATAAGAACATGATGAGGTGTCGGTCTGTGAGGACAGTAAAGAAACATCTTTGTGTGCAGGATGGATCCAGGCCAGGAACACAAATTTACTGGGAATAAATAATAACAGATAAAAGGTTGAATATTCTCTGAAATTAGAGTCAAATATTTATGAGGGGGCTGTGGCGTGAGGGCCGGCTGTGGCGTGAGGGCCGGCTGTGGCGTGCGAGGCCGGCTGTGGCGTGAGGGCCGGCTGTGGCGTGAGGGCCGGCTGTGGCGTGCGAGGCCGGCTGTGGCGTGCGGGGCCGGCTGTGGCGTGCGAGGCCGGCTGTGGCGTGAGGGCCGGCTGTGGCGTGCGAGGCCGGCTGTGGCGTGAGGGCCGGCTGTGGCGTGCGAGGCCGGCTGTGGCGTGAGGGCCGGCTGTGGCGTGCGAGGCCGGCTGTGGCGTGAGGGCCGGCTGTGGCGTGAGGGCCGGCTGTGGCGTGAGGGCCGGCTGTGGCGTGCGAGGCCGGCTGTGGCGTGCGAGGCCTGGTCGAGCAGACTACACATCTGTCAGTAAACAAGAAGCCTCACAGCCCAGAATATAAATAATATTTTAGATTTAGAAATGTAGCAAGGGAAACCAGTGTGAACCGGCCTGATGCAGCTCATAACTTCGATATCTAGCGAGTACTGTTATCTATAATTTACAGGGGCTGCAGTTTGTCTGTAGAGGAGATCCTGGATCAACAGCCAGTACCAGGACAGACCCGGTCCAGACCTCTTTAGCAGGTCCCGCAGCCCCAGGTGAGACACAGGCAGCCTCAGCCAGAGATCAGGCAGCTCGGACCCTAACTGAACCACGTGAGCCAGCAGATTGGCCCCCAGTCTTAGTGCGCAGAGGTCTGTTCAGACCAGCTCTGGATTTCTCTAGAAGAGGTTTCTATTCAGGCTGCTTACGGAGACAGACTGTTTGAAGGAGTTGTAGTGAGAGCTTGTCAACATGGCTCACGAGGCAGGTAGGAGGGCCCCAGAACAGAATTTAGCTTAGGGCCCCGTGACACCAGACCTCAGGTAAAAGTTACAGCTGACGTCACAAAGTTACATCTGAAGTTACCTGCTTCAGAGTGCAGGCCAGGTTCAGAGGAAACAGGAGCAGGTGTTGCACGGTTCACCTGTCGGTCACCATGACAACACGGCACGAAGACCGACACTTCAGTCTCGTCACGTCCTTTAGGTTAAAGTTGAGACTGCGTGTACGGTGTGTAAATATATAAACATAGTGAACAAAAAGGCAGCCCTTTAGTTTTTGATCTGAGACTTTCTCTGTGTTCACAAAAGGCCCGTTTCTCTCAAATCTGTCAAAATCCGTGTCGGTGAGCACGAGATGATCCGTCCACCTCACAGGTGTATCCTCTGCCCTGGACAGTGAAAACCTGTTTCCTCACTGCTGAATCCGATCGTGAAGTCTAAGATAAGTTTCCAGTGCAGGCAGACGAGTGAAGTTTCTCTCATAAATGTGGGACTAATGTCAGAGAATATTCAGCTTCTTCACTTGTTGATTCATGTTGGAAATTAAATTCTGTCCTGGATTATTCGCCCTTTTCCTGTTACAGTGGAGCTCATGTGCAGCTGGACCTTTACATCTTCATCATATTACACATAAAGAAGAGCCCATAAATACAGAAGAGAGATCTGAGCTGCAATCAGAACCCTGTGACGATAATCAACAAGCCGCCCCGGCTCTGTCGGACGCCAAGATATTAGATTTAGCCGTTAACGTGTCTTTACATTCATCATTTCCCGACACTACCAACGTGCGTTCCTCTGGAGGAATACGGAGCATGCGGCGTTCAGAAGAAACTCTGCCTGCACGGCCGAACACGGCGCTTTTTTGTAAACGTCGAGTCCAATTAAGTTAAAGCGTCTTCTCCACCGCCGTAGTACCGTTTAACTCCGGTGTCAGAGTTTGTTACCCTGAGTTTGCCTGATAACCCCGAGTGAACTCTGAGGAGGCTGAACTCCCTCCGTAGTGCAGGCCTCAGGCCTCTCACACCAAAGGCGTGCGTCTTATCCACTGCGCCATCACCACCTCAAAACAGAAATGTGAGGGCTGTTCATATGTAAATTCCTTATCTTTATGTTTCATGTTGTGCCTTTTAAGAACAGCAGCAGCAGGACAAACCACAGATTAACATGTCACATAAATCTGTCTTTTAAACCAGGAGGTGCGTCGTGACGAGCAGGCGGTCGTAGTTCATCCTTCCTGCAGCAGCTAAAATCAAACTGCATCATTCTGAGTTTGAAATGTTGGAATTCTGGAGACGACCCAGGAAGTCCTTGATCCAGAGCTTCACTGGCCCTCAAACACGCAGGTGGTGTTGAGAGACGGATTAAACCTGAGCAGCAGAGTTAGAGACAGAAACACTCAATCCTACATTTCCCATAATGCACCTAGCCCCAAAATAGCACAAATTAGACGAGCTGTGTGAGATGTCACGGGGGCCTGTAATTGGCCTGAAACAGAAAATACAGACCAGAATGAGAGTGAAGGCAGCATGACGTCACTTCCTGTTTCTTAAAGCCGCGGTTTGATGCGGCCGGCCACTCGACCACACGACTGTCTGCAGTCAAATCTATGGAAATGAGCTCAGCCTGCACCCAGAGCATGCTGGGACACATGACATCATCCAAACAACCTGCCGCTCTCTCTGACCAGCTGAAGTGAAACCCTCTGCGCTGACTGTCAGGCACAGATCACCCTGACAAGTGAAGGAGGAGCGTCGGAGTCTGACTGACACAGAGATTTCTTCTGTGTTCACATGTGGAGTAACAGGCCTGCTGCAGACGGAGAGTCCGGGTCAGGAACCTGGTCTGAACAGAGGATTTCAGAGGGTCCTCAGCTTTCAGTAGTCCTGGAGAAGGTTGAGTTCTTTCAACCATAGGTGGTTCTCAACAGAGTTCCACGGTTTTCTGGGAAGGTATCAGGGATTTCTCTGCACGGTTCCAGGGTTTGTTGATAAGGGTTCATCACATAGTTTCAGGGGTTCCTTGAAAGGGTTGAGGGGTCCTTTGGAGGTTTTCAGAGATACCAGTTATCCAGCAGTGTTTGAAAGGGTTGAGTTCTTGAGAGGTTTCAGGACTCATTTCCAGACTTTCTGGGTTTTCTATGAAGGCTTCAGGAGTTCTTTAAAGGGTTTCTTCACATAATTTCAGGGTTCCCTAAACTGATTTCTAAGAGTGTTTCTATGATCCTTCAGATGTTTTCAGAGGTTCCTCTCAAAGTTTCAGTTTCCCTTGGTTTAGTTTGGCACCCTGGTCGTCCCGGGCCTTTCTGCGTGGGTTTCCTCCGGGTTCCCCCACCATCAAAAACATGTTGGGTTCTCCAGTCACTGACATTCACCAGGGCACTGGCTTAGATCTGGACTTGGTCCCCGGGGGCTGTACAGAAGCTCAGGAGGGTTAAATACATTATTCTGTTGTGTAAGTGACTATAAAGTACCTTCTCTTACCTTGCAGTCCCTGAAGGTCCAGGATCACAGGGTCCTGTGGGAAAGGGTTCAGCACAGAGTTTCCGGAGTCCTTCGGAGTTTCCGGAGTCCTTCAGAGTTTCAGCAGTCCTTCAGAGTTTCAGCAGTCCTTCAGAGTTTCAGCAGTCCTACAGAGTTTCAGTAGTCCTTCAGAGTTTCAGGAGTCCTACAGAGTTTCTTGAGTCCTTCGGAGTTTCCGGAGTCCTTCAGAGTTTCAGGAGTCCTACAGAGTTTCTTGAGTCCTTCAGAGTTTCAGGAGTCCTACAGAGTTTCTGGAGTCCTACAGAGTTTCTGGAGTCCTTCGGAGTTTCCGGAGTCCTTCAGAGTTTCAGGAGTCCTACAGAGTTTCAGCAGTCCTTCAGAGTTTCAGGAGTCCTACAGAGTTTCAGTAGTCCTTCAGATTATCTGGAATCCTTCAGAGTTTCAGGAGTCCTTCAGGAGTCCTTCAGAGTTTCAGGAGTCCTTCAGAGATTCAGGAGTCCTTCAGAGTTTCAGGAGTCCTTCAGAGTTTCAGGAGTCCTTCAGGAGTCCTTCAGAGTTTCAGGAGTCCTTCAGAGTTTCAGGAATCCTTCAGAGATTCAGGAGTCCTTCAGAGTTTCAGCAGTCCTTCAGAGTTTCAGGAGTCCTTCAGAGTTTCAGGAGTCCTTCAGAGTTTCAGGAATCCTTCAGAGATTCAGGAGTCCTTCAGAGTTTCAGCAGTCCTTCAGAGTTTCAGGAATCCTTCAGAGATTCAGGAGTCCTTCAGAGTTTCAGCAGTCCTTTAGAGTTTCAGGAATCCTTCAGAGTTTCAGGAGTCCTTCAGAGTTTCTGGAGTCCTTCTTTGGTGTGTTGACGTGTTTCCTCTGCTGCGTTTCAGTCAGACTGACGAGGTTCATTTAGGACGAGAAATAATGAAAAGGAAAGTCAGACCGGTGAGATCAGGTGAGATACGATCGGTAAGATAAACCTTTAGAGGCTCCTGGATTATTTAACACAATTAATGAGCTGCTTTTTCCACCAACCTACCCTGAACACATCACAGCTGACAGACAGCCGCGTCACCATGACAACTAGCATGTTGTTAGATTAATTTAGGAACTTCTTTACTTCCTGTTTCCAACCGCAAACTTCTGCTTCACTTCACTCAGAAGCACTTCAGACTACAGCACTACACAGACATGAGTACTACACAGACATGATACTACACAGACATGAGTACTACACAGACATGATACTACACAGACATGAGTACTACACTGACATGATACAACACAGACATGATACTACACAGACATGAGTACTACACAGACATGATACTACACAGACATGAGTACTACACAGACATGATACTACACAGACATGAGTACTACACAGACATGATACTACACAGACATGAGTACTACACAGACATGATACTACACTGACATGATACTACACA